GAAATTAAATTAAATTAAAAGTTAAACAGGAATATCTCGCCGTGTTAATAATAGGACTACAACCTGCTTTGCGCTCAGCATCTCTTTCTTGATAAGATTGGGCTCGTATGGCACCAAGGTGATGGGTCGGAAGCCCAGATACACCGTGTCAGGGAACGGATACTGCAACAAAGATCGTTAAGAATACTGTTTGATGTAAACAAATATATTTGACCGTTGACATTACCTTCATGACTTTGTTCATACTGATCTTTAATTCACGTTAGACGATTTGATTTTACCATGGTAACCTTTGATGTATGTGTTGGTAACATGAAGAAAAACTCGATCAGTTGCCCTGCTATTTAGGATAATGCCTTTGCATGTTGACTTGTCCACACTCAACATTATCATGTGTGTTAAATGGTAAAGCAGTTTGATTATGCAGCAATCGGAGCTTACTGTTACGTTGACTTTTTCCACCATTACAATTGTCTCAAGTCGAATTCCAAACTGATCCTTCTCGTAGTAACCTGGCTCTGTGGAAGGGAAGTGGATATGTGACCAAACAATTCTAGTTGTGTAGCACTGTTATCATCAAACAAACGATGCGTGTTTTATGGGATCAAATTTAAATATTGTAAAGTCGGTGAGGTTAGGTGAAATTGGGTTTGACGTCGCGTCAAAGATTTTGTGTGTGTGTGTGTGTGTGTGTGTGTGTGTGTGTGTGTGTGTGTGTGTGTGTGTGTGTGTGTGTGTGTGTGTGTGTGTGTGTGTGTGTGTGTGCTAGTCCGGACTAATGCCGATTTATAGTGCTAGAACACTGAGATACCATGCCGCAGTTTAACATGATGAATACCCCACTCAAACACAGTATCCTGACTCTGAGCCGACAAGTCCTTGTTTTAGCCCCTCAATGCCGAGTGCCAGACAGGGTAACAACAAGTGCCATCTTTTAACGACTTTTGGGATGACAAGGCCGGGGATCGAACTCCTGACCTTCCGCTCTCCGGGCGGACGCTCTACCACTAGACCACGGAGGCGGTCTATTGTAAAGTAATTGTAATGAATGGTTCCAGAATACTGGGAAAAAATTATTTGACCTCGGGTTTTACACATACAAAATAATTGTTTACCGTCAATAGATAACACTCACCGAATATATGACATATCCTTTCTAACGAGAGTCTATAACTTTCAAGATTAACTTCTTACCATCTGAGAAGAACATGTATTCGTCGAGGACTTCATCGCTGGGATTGAGATCATGGGAAAGGGAGATTCTGCCGGGTCCCTCGTGGACGCTGAGGTAAGCCCCTATCCCGTGCCCCGTGCCGTGCAGGTAGATCAGTCCAGCCTCCCAGAGGGGTGCCCGAGTTATGGCGTCTATTTCTCGACCTGTAATGATACTATCGTTTACTGTCCCTGAGAAGTAAGTGTGGTAGTGCTTAAGGAGTAATGTTAACGCTTATAAAGATGTGTCAGTTTAATATGGGTGGAAAGCCCAAAGTCTTGTAGGACGTTTACCGTCTTGATGAAACTAACGAGCATGGGATTCGGACCACAATTTCAGGATCCTGGCACGTCATGAGGACGCAACCCTGCGCAAAGAATTGTTGCGCCTTAGCAGCAAAGCCATCCATGCACACAATATGATATATACCAACAGTGGTCTGGAATAGATCTGGTCTGGGTTCGGCAAACCATTGTTGATAACGTCAGTCTTCAACCACAAACAATTGTATTAAGTCTCGGTACCGCACTGGGTGCATGCCTGATAAAGATTGAACAATTCCTGCGTATTACTGTTATATCACAACAACTCGAAACCATGTATTTTTCTATAGCATTGAATGTTGAACTGATAAACTTTTTTTATCAGAAATGGTGCCTGACGTATGGTGCAGTAACGAACAGATAGTTGATACTGGTCCCTTTTAATAAGGAAGAGTTATCTACAGTGCCATTTTACTGAAGTTTAATATAGAACCTTTCAGGAATGTCTCTGATTTAGACACTGAGAATCAAAACGAACTGTAAAACTTGGGTGTATGTTCCGTGTTTTTATCATCAACCGGATTCCGTCATACCATAGAGTCCCTTTGGCCACTTGAGCAGGGCCAGGTCGATGTGGCCCATCAACACTCGGGTGTAGCACTCCTGCGTGGTAGAAAGATGGGATGAGCATTATGATTACACATGTCAATAACATTCCTCTGTTGATGGGTGAGTTAGTCAATATTAAACGTATTATAGATGAACCACAAACTGTCAGCCTCATTTGTTAAACTGGAAACCTAAAGAATCAAGGCATAGAACTACTTTGTTAAGAATCTGTGAGTGAACCTTTATGTAACAACACTGGAAGAAGGGACGGAATGCCAGGGTAATGTAGTTTTGCTTTTTGAGTGGAGACATCGTCAATGAGGTGAGTTTCATTTTGTGTACAAATGTCGAACATACATGTACTGTGATTTGCGCCATAAATATTTCTACATATTACTAATGTACATTGTTAAGAAGAACGTTTTCGATCCAGTGTAACAAAACACTCTCCACAAGACTGTATGACAAGAGGGATGGCTTCAACTTTTCAACTTTAACATGTGAATGACTATGACTATGTGATGAACAGGATGCTCCCGACCATAACCTCACTTGCGTGCATGTAGACATAGTCATTGAAGAACAAATAGCTAAAGCAGTGTTACTGCAGACGAGACCTCTGTTCCAGCCCAGCTCTTAAAATGTACAGTTGTGATCATGATAATGAGTATATTTGACTCTCTAACCTTCTGATAGTCCGATGGAACGCCGAAATGGAAGGTCCTGGTGACGTCGGTGGTGCCGTCTCTGTGAAGGTCATCATGGAGACTTATTAACTATATATTCGTCATGATACATAATAATATCATGATCACTTGTGTGATTAACTTGTCTATGCCAGCGATTTTATATGAGAAGGAATTTATCACTTTAAATGAGTTAGCAATGTTTAAGATATGTAGTTTACAGTTCAAAGGTTTATATGGCGGATCAAAACCTCAATCCTTCAGGGTGGCGGAAAATGAGTGTATAGTTCTGCTATACATTTTTGCAATGGTACTACGATGTTTTATTTTAAAAACTTGAAATTCTTTTTGAGGATATGTTTAAATTTTAGGCATGTACGTTGATTTATCCGAGGTATTATTGTGAGGACAATTTTACTCATACTACGGTGTACATCCGCCTATCCCTCCATTACTTTTCTGAAGTTCATTTTAACAAGAAGAGACCTTACTTACAATATTGTAATTTCATTTTTGTTTTACCGTTTCTGTGAAACAAGTCAAAGAAACCGATGTTATTATATTCTTCAATTGAAGAACCATCTCTACTCAATAATATACTCAAAATAATTATATTAGTGTATAAGCACCAAACCTCTAGGTCTGGAGGAATCCCCTGTCATCTGGGTTATTGCTTAGATTGTTGTTATCAGAAATCACTTCTTTCTCACGTCTAAAATTCACTGTTCGCAAATCTATATATTTTTTTAAATTGGAAACCGCTCTTGATTTGGCACACTGTCCCTTTTTCTTGTTAAATCCTACAGTGCAAACTTACAGATATTGCCCGCCCGAGTCAAGAAGGAACATGTCTGACGTGGTGATCTGTTTGTCGGTGGCGTTGGTGGGACTGTAGTGGATGATGGCGCCGTTAGATCCAGACCCGGCTATGGAGCCGAAACTCAGTCCACGGTTCAAATTCTGCTCGCTGAAACATGATGCATTCTCCCTATATTGATACGTATTTCGAGTGGGTTTGGTTTTACGCCGTTTTGAACAGCGTTTCAGTTATATAATGGCGTGTCAGCTTTATGTGTAGGGCGTCTAATGTGATGCAGGTCGCCGACGTTTAGCACTTTGATGAAACAATGATCACCGGTGTGATACTGATGAACCAAGAATCCGTACGAACCATGGATGCGAACACACGATAAGCGGATCCTGGGATGAGTAAGACGCAACTCTGGACATCGAATCCGTCCCTTAGAGGACTGAGCTAAAATGACTAGAGTGACACGTGTGCATCGAATTGTTCAGCTTTGGTTGGCAAGTTCGTGGAGAGAATTAGACCAATTGTTTAAGAAATGTGAAATGTTATAACAGTACATTGGGTCAGCTTGGGCCTCATGATAAGGAATGGATGGGCTCTGATAACTTGAACGAACTTGAAATTAGATGGGACACTTTGTATAAAATTATGCTTACAAATTTTTTTAAAATATTAATTTTAATTACTTACAGAAATAACCGGTATGCAGGTCGGACAACACATCAACCACTGATACTGATGCCTTCTCCCCGATGATTACGAAATATTTGATGAGGGTTTTATCTGATTTGTTTCCTCAAACAAAACTTCAATGCATGTAACATCATACTAAATTATCCAGTGTATTACATATCTCCAATATATTATGATACATACCATGAAGCCATTCGCCACCAAAGCTTTGCTTCGAAAGTGAGGTCACTATCTCAATCTCTGTAACGTAGCGAAGAATTTCTCTCGCATATGATTGGATGGTATCCTTGGCGCCATGGTATTTGAATCAGGCTCAAAACGAAGCTATTGTAGCTTATGGGTCTCGGGTGTTATTCGTGACAGAATGTGTGAATAACACCCTGGATAATCGAGGATGATGTGTTTTAACTAATTAGATTCGATTTTTTTTTATGTGCTATACTCACAGTCTGTACTTCTTTAGATCAGCATCAGCTGTAACTTCAGACCAATACTGCCCTGCCTTCACCTTAAACATTGCAGAGAGTAAGTGAGGGAGGTTTTCCATCAATGCTGGATGTGGGGATATTCAGTCTGGAGAGGGCAACACCTGAGTCAAATACTGTTGCACAAGTCTAGCTACTGTGATCTGGTGTCACTGTGCCGTCACTAGTGGGCCATGCGGTTGCAAAAACAAACCAAGTGAAACGTCCAAAACCCCTCATCCCGGTTTCTTGCCGCATTTTAATTCCCATCTATCACAATCATTTGATTCCTCCCCATGTCATAACGCCACCACCTCCAAAGCGAGCGCCTTCAAGAAAACATGGCGTGGCCTAAAATGTTTTTTCTCTGAACTTTCGGAGATTGCTTAGTGTGGCAATGATATGGGGTCGGATACACTTGGAGCAATCCCTCTCGAATATTCGTTATTTCTTACCCCAAAAAAACATGCAATAAATCGAGCTCTTTCATAAAAAAATCCAAAAGTTCATATACATGACACCTTTGCGCATATACTGTAACTGCGTAAACTTCATAATAAAGATAATAAGTTTAGGAGCATCTGTTTATCACTGGTGATATCGCATAACAATAATGACTTCATGATGACATTTCAGCTGAAAAGAGGATTTGACATCCACTGCAGTGTACACTAGTTGGGTTTGTTGTCCTTTTTATAGGAAGAAATAATAATCATTAACTATATAATAATATATAAATATGACATCAAGGTGCTCTTACTTCACGTTCGAGTTTTTCCATGAATTTGATTAGGGCCACTGCATCGCGGATCTGAAACAGAATATGATTTATGAACACACGATGCCATTTAGAAAATGGTCACATGTAATAAATGTTATATTTGGGATAACAATTTCTTAGTAACGTCCAGATTCTTGTACTTTTTGGGGTTGAGACCCATCCGGGATTCGAAACCACACTGCCAGAGTGCGTCACCGAGGCTTCCACAAAAATGAAAGTCCGACAACTGGTAGTCTAGATTACGTACTTTGTGTACACCTCTCACAAGTTTAAAAAGCTATGAACACACAATGCCATTTAGAAAGAGGTCAAATGTAACAAATGATATATTTGGGATATCACTTTCTTAGTAATGCCTTGCTGGCTGAGTGGGTTAGATTGCTGACTTTGTGTGCTGGCGATTAGGTGCCTGCCTCACTCTGGCAGTGTGGGTTCGAATCCCGAGGGGACTCAACACAAAGTACGAGATCCTGTACTTTACTAAGAAAGTGTTATCCCAAACATTTGTTACAGAATATGCTTGTACTTGTCACTTCCCTTGCAAGCGGGCCAGACGTTACGAGGGTACAAAGTATCTGTTAGAACAGATGACATGTAGATGACGATTTTCGGACATTGTTTGTTTAACAGTGTGCACATTATATCAGTCATGGTTTCATTTGTTTCACTTAATGGGTAACATAAAACATCAACCCCTGAGAATAACCAGTCTCGATTGTCCGACGAGAGAGATTACACTGGGCGTTATAGGCAAAGTATCAGTGATGATGTAAATGTGAACAAGATACGAAAAATCTACACAAATCACAACAATACCTCACTCAATAGAGATTATTAATTATATATACTAAGTGTTTAAGATCAAGAGAACATCCTTCTTACATGTGAAGCCTGCATTCCCGCTCTCTCTACTGCATTCTTCTGGGACTTCATTAATGCAATGGCGGACTTGTCGTGAATTCTCTGAGCCTATCGGGTAGAAATATTAATTGTCAATACAAGAGAATAACCAGTCTAGGTTATCCACCGAAACAGATTCAACATGTGCGTAAAGGGCAAAACAGCTGCGGAAGCATGTCCGGCCCCTACCGGAAGCACCCGCCATTCACACTCTTTGCATACAAAGTATGAATTTGTTGCCTGACGCCGCAAAGCAGTGCTCCTACCATGGGACGGCGGCCTGTAAACAAACCAGACAATCAAGTGATCGATGAACTAGAAAATCTAGTGACATGTTATTGTATTTTCTTTTCTGAAATATGTACACGATATGTTAATTTTGAATTACGTCTGAATCTCCTGCTTTTAAGTAAAGAAATAAGTTTAATAAATATATTCATTTTGTAACACAGTTTGGGGGCGGAGGAGGGGGGAGGGGTGAGTTTAAATGTCTCGACCCAAACAATCCTATTATCATGCGCGTGAATACATGTTAAAAAACAAAACAAGTTATATCGAACGAAACGATGTATCGAAAATATACTTTTTACTCAAATGTGCTGCTATATTCAAATTCACAATTTTGGTTTTCAACCTACTGGTGTATCCATACAAAGCATTTTATATATTTCTTTGTTTCATTGTCTCTAAACATCACATTCTCTTATCAATGTAATGTCAATCCCCTTAACTTGTATGAAATGATCTACGATAGTAGTCTTTATTCAGTTATCTTAGTACGAAGGATTCTTTTGTTGTGGACGTTACATGATGTCATGGAATTATAAACAAAAGCACATGACTCAGTTGATGGAATTGTTTTGTTGTGACAAGTCAGTAAAAAAAGCAGGGGTAAGTGACCTTTAGAAATTGGACACACCTGAGGAACGTGCGGTGATCAAGTACTTGCAGAAAAGGGCTTAACGGGGAGGAGTTACGAGAGCGACCCTCTGGTGAGACTGGTAGTCGTTTTGACCGATGTTTTCTTAGGAGGGAACAAAAGTGAGAGGCGGGGAGCGTCTCAAAACTAAAACAAAAGAACGCTGAAGGTGAATTGTATATATTTCAAGGCATAAAAGAAGTTTAAGCAAAATAGATGACACAGACTGTTTCAGGGGTTGGAATCTGGCCTCTCTGGCCTAGGTCATTCTGTTCCAACCAGGGGTGCGTTATCGATCACCTACTGAAGTTTGTTCATGATACGACCCCTCCTGTTATCAAAACATATATAATATTCACAGGATGCCACAGTTCGCGCCAGTGAGACTTGCTGTGAGACCGGAGCTAGACACCAAAAGCTATCCATGCAGATAGAGAACAACACTAAGGAAAGATGCACCTTCCTATGCCATTGCAAGGAGGTGGACAGCAGAGTCTCAGCATGGCAGGAAGACCCTTGAAGACTACGCCTGTCCTGGAAGGCATGTCACAGCAGCAACGCCAGAACTGATCCAGAGAATCCATGATAAGGTGATGACTGACCGGCGAATTGCTGAGCGTCATAGTGCTAGTTCAGATGGCATTTCCCAGGAGAGAGTACATTCCATTATTACGGGAACTTGGGTTATGAACATAGTATCAGCTCGTTTGGTGCCAAAGCTTCTGACATCTGATCAAAACCGCACAAAGCACAGCATGTCTCGTGATAATCTAGCTCTGTTTGAAGCTGATCAAGAAAACTGCTTTCCACGATTTGTGACTTTGGATGAAACCTGGGTCCACTACTTCCAGTCCGATCCAAAACAGCTATCGAATCAGTGGACACATTAGACATCACCGCACCAAAAATGGCAAAGATCGTCCAATCAGAAGGACAGATTATTGCATCTGTGCACTTGGGTGTTGAGCGTGTCATCATGACGGACTATCTCCCAAAAGGGCAGACAATAAACAGAGCAAATTATGCTGCACATTTGAGGCAAGTACGGCATGAAATGAAGACAAGAGGAAAGGTGTCCTCTTTCATCAAACCATGGCTACATTCAAAGAGTGTGGCTTGAAACTCCTTCAGCACACGCCGTATTCTCCTGACATGGATCAGACTTGCATCTGTTCTCAAATATGGATAGAGCTCCACCCAGAACCCATTTCAACTCAAACGCTGACATCAGAGCAGCTGTGGAGACCTTTTCTGGACAGCCAAAAGAAGAACTTAAACGAAACTGGAATAAAATCCTGCCAGCATCGTTGGCAAAAGTCTTTCTATGTTAGGCTCACCCCTCATATTACCCAAAGTCCAAAAGTAATGCAAAGTTCCATGTAGGATCACTCAGTCACGACGCAAATGATACAATACCTTATACAGTCTGCCCATGTGACCTTTCGTAATGGACCTGCCTCAGGTATCGTGCTGCATATAGCCTGGTTACAATAGAGTGGCACCCATATGCTGACATTGTTATTTGTAATGGACCTACCTCGGATATGGTGCTGTATATAGCCTGGTTACAACAGAGTGATACCCATATGCTGACGTTGTTATTGTAAAAGACCTACCTCAGGTGTGGTGCTGTATATAGCCTGGTTACAATAGAGTGGCACCCATATGCTGACGTTGTTATTGTAATAGACCTACCTCGGGTATGGTGCTGTATATAGCCTGGTTACAATAGAGTGATACCCATATGCTGACGTTGTTATTGTAATAGACCTACCTCGGGTATGGTGCTGTATATAGCCTGGTTGCAATAGAGTGACACCCATATGCTGACGTTGTTATTGTAATAGACCTACCTCGGGTATGGTGCTGTATATAGCCTGGTTACAATAGAGTGGCACCCATATACTGACGTTGTTATTTGTAATGGACCTACCTCGGGTATGGTGCTGTATATAGCCTGGTTACAATAGAGTGGCACCCATATGCTGACGTTGTTATTGTAATAGACCTACCTCGGGTATGGTGCTGTATATAGCCTGGTTGCAACAGAGTGATACCCATATGCTGACGTTGTCATTGTAATAGACCTACCTCGGGTATGGTGCTGTATATAGCCTGGTTACAATAGAGAGATACCCATATGCTGACGTTGTTATTGGCGATAGCTTTGATATCTTCACTCACTGCTGCGGCATTGTAGGCCAACACCTACAATGTATGAAATTCTGTTTGTTAGAAACAACTATATATTTAGTGATGCATTCCCATATATATGAAATCCATTTACTCTGAGAGAAACAGGTCACGTTGTTTTCTCAGTAAGAAAAAGTAACACAAATGATAGCACTACCTCACACGTCATTACAGAATTATAGTTGTATATGGAGTCTTTCTTCTGTCTTAACACTAGGTTCACGAGACATTTCGTGAATTACTAAACGTCTTAATTATCACTAAATAGCGATTAGAACTAGCATTCACAACAGAACAGAAACATTGTCCGTTACAAATAACCTCAAAAGCAAAGCATTAAGAATACTATTATTTCTATTTATGTTAATATTGTAATAACACTGTGAAACGTTTGGAATATTTTAATTTTCAAACCTTTTGACAGTTTGAACTTACTTATGACTGAAATAACTGGACCTGTTCAAATGTCATGCTCAACAAAATGTTTAACCAACAAATTCATGAATAACTTATGTCACTTGTAAACACTAGTTAGGAATATAATCACAACTATTACCTTTCAACGTCGTGATGATATATAGGGTAGTTGTTTTACGTAACCAAATATTAGCATATTAGCGCACATACACATGCACGCGAACAGGCATTTACACAATCATAAATACATACACAAACTCACAAACACTCCATGTATTTCTACCAATGTGTGTGATCCCCCTGGTGTTAGTTACCTCCACACAGCTGCTGACTGGTGATGAACAGGAGCCATTCGTACTTGTTTTTAGGTGTTCATGCAGTTTTGCTGTACTGTTTATGTCTGTTGGATTGGTCGTCAACTTGGTTATGTGATCCAGCAGGTACAACCTGAAATATGCCGAACAAGACACAACACTTTAATTGTCATCGCATGAACATATCACTTAATGGTGTTTTAACCGTGCTTATGAACAAGGTGATCTAGTGAGTGCAGATAACGTTATATTGACCGGGCGACTACCTACACGACTCAGACATGTGGGTGGGTGATCGAGAGAGAGAGAGAGAGAGAGAGAGAGAGAGAGAGAGAGAGAGAGAGAGAGAGAGAGAGAGATTGAACAATAGCGTAACTCACCTGACTCTACTTGTCTCCACGATGGCATATGAGATGAAGAACGGATTGTAGGTGATGTCGCTAGCACGGGCGTTGAACAACCCTGCAGAGGGAACAGCCATGGGACATATCGTGATCTTAAATACACGGGTACATTGCGAAAAATGTTATCATCATTACTTACGAAAGGAAATCCCAAGATATGCAACATGCACTACTCCGGCTGTGAAGAGTGGAGAGGGACCAGTCTATCTAAAATGGAGTTTTTTCAGTGTGTGTGCACACATGCACACACGCATACGCACAAGCGCGTAACGTAATCCTTTGTCTTGACACAAAGGTAGTCCATTGTGTTTCATTTAATCCCCAAAAATACAAATTGACCAAAAAGCAAATCTGATCTCAAACCTCTCTTTTCTTTCTATTTTGTGTTTGACAGCTCTCAGCAATATTTCAACTACATTCGTTACCTCCACACAGAGCAATAATCTTGAACGCGATACTAAACCCCATTTCGCCTCACCTCGTATTGATCCAAGATACTTACATGCTGTCTCGTCAAGACTGGTCACAATATACGCCCCTGCTCCATTTGAAGCAAATTTGTCCCTCACATCACTGATTTTCTCCTCCCAAGTCTTGCCTGCAAATACCAACAAAGTGTGTGGCGTAGCCCAATGGTTAAAGCGTTTGATTGTCATGGACAAGACAGCTTTAATTGCCAACGTTGGAGTCAATATGTGGCACTAATTGTTAAAAATGTAACCCACCGTGGAATTGGACATATATTGCCAAATGAAGCATAAGAACACTCACTCACTTACTTACTGTAGCATTTTAATATATATCGCGAATTGATAAAAAAAATAGCGAATTTAACATAACATTTTTAGTTGATACAACGTTGTATGTCATGTACTAATTCCCTCATGTATTTGCATGAGGTAGTGGGGTAGCCTTGCGGTTAAGGCCATCGCTCTTCACGCCAAAGGATTCCCCACATGGGTACAATGTGTAAAGCCAGTTGCTGATGTTCCTCGTCGTAATATTGCTAGAATATTGCTAGAGCGACATTAAACAACATTCACTCACTCACTCTATCTCTTTTAGTTTATGGAGTGAGTGGAAGAGTCGAGTTTCACGCCACTTTGACGCCACAGTTATGCCAGATCACGTCATATCAGCTTTACGTGGGTAAGGACACTTGCAGATGGCTACAACTTTTGTGAATGGAATATTTCAAAGGACATTTCAGAAATGGAACATTATGAATTGATAGTCAAACACCAGTGCCCTTAATTAATTATGTCTCAATTACGAGATCAACATACGGTGTTTTCAATGTAGAGCTAGGTTACCTGTAGATTTAACCACGCTAAAATGAATTTTGAACCGTACGCGTAGCATAGCGCAATACGTTTATCTCCTTTCCACCATGACTAAATAAAACACGAACTCTTTGGTGCTAGCAAATAAATTGAGCGAAGCGGCGTGGGTTGAGTCCAGTGTTTTGTTTTGGTTGTCGATGTGAATGACGGAATCGCTGACAACAGCATTTTAACAAAATATGGCGCTCTATATGTTCAAGCAGATGAAGGCATTGAAAGCATATAAGCACGGCAACTTCGTAAGCTAACATGACGTGGGCGCCCCTTAAGAATACTAAGTAAGCCTTCGTTCTACACAGCGTCTCCCCATTACGATGTCATATTGCTCATTGTGAAGCAAAGGCTATGACGTCACATTCGTATACAGAAAAGCGCCAAATGCCAAGCTCTCTGTTTTCCCAAAACTTAAAATACATTCTCTTTGTAGATTTTCTGCATGAAATGTCTTGCCACACAACCCTTGCAACTTCAACACATAAACTTTGCATTTTGTAGCCTATAATTGTACATGTAATTATGTAAGTATGCATACCGACAATGACTGTAAAAGAAGTATTATTGTGAAAAAACATTAGTTTCCTCGGTGATGCGGCCGTCAAATCGGCTGTTTCATCAGAAGGGGTTTATTGTGATTCCATACTTTTGATTGACCAATCTAAATCGAGTATTAACCAAATTTATGGTAGAATATGCAGTAATTGGATTTGAATAGACAATGTAGGATGCCAACAGTAATCATTATTCTGCCATGAAATAAGGTATGTTTATCCCCTAATAATTCATGCAACACTTATCACAATTACATATGTAGTGACACGTGTTTCATAGTACAGCTGACACGTTAAGAAGCGAGGGTTGCGGAGAGTAGACAGATGGGTGACCGCAGTCTGCACGTTTGACTCCTGATAGTTTCTAGGGCTTCGGTCCTACCCCACACTTTAATACGTTACACGTGGTGTCTTCTTAAGCAAGAGACTATATACCAAATAAGCCTATGTTCACCCAGCAGTGATGTGTACCAGGCTGGATGGAATCCCCTAGTCTCGTCATTTCAAAAGACCTTAACAGAAGGTATTTGTTATCTAGCCTTGCGCACGGTATTGCAGGGATGAACCAAGGACTCGTTGTCAGTATGATGTGTCCATGGAAAGCCATTTTAAACTGCGGCTTTGCAACTTAGTGATCTTGCACAATAAAAATTGCATAAGGCTTGACTAGAACAAGCAGACATACTCACTCGTCCATGCACGTCGCTACATAAATACTACAGTCAATCTAAGTGCTAATCTACAATACCTCATCTATTATTATTATTATTATTATTATTATTATTATTATTATTATTATTATTATTATTATTAATAATAATAATAATATTATTATTATGTACAGATTAAAATAAAAAATAGAGCAAAGAGGGTTTGGGTGATTCTGGCACAGTCAGGCTGGTTAGGCTCATCATCAGCTCAGGGCCCTTGCCCCCTCTACACGCAGCCCAGACAGCGAATGGGACTTGTGAAGACCCCCAACACTGCAGCCTTCTGCACTGCCCAAATTGTCAGAAGGGCTGTGATCCCGGCAGCAAACCCGGGTATTCTCCCAGTGTCAGTCAACAGATTGGGAGCCTATGTACCAAGAACAACGGGGAGTTATACAGTAGTTGTCGTAGTTATCCCTTACCAGCATATTCTATTGACAGAGCATTTATAGTTGTACTTGGCTGTGGGGGCCGATCGGAAGTCCAGATCTGGTCGATAAGGTCATCGTTGACCTCCACCATCGATATCCCTGCCTTTGCGAAGATGGTCGAGTAGGACGTCCATGTACCTTGAATGTATTTGATATGGAGTAGTTATACCAATTATTTTCGACAGATGTCGGTCAATATCTCAGAGTTCGCTGGTTAGGTATCCGTGGTGTCAGCTAAAGAGAAACGTGAATGTGTATTGACTGTTCTGCCTCAAAACTACCAAGAAGTGCAAGATAATTTGTTTATTCATGCATTATTCCTTTGGTTAAGTAGGCATGGTAAAAACACCGACATTAAATTGAGCGTATATAATGCATTGTACAATAGACGCTAGAACTTCACTGCCGATTATATTGAATCCAACTTAGGACATACGGGCATTCATGAGGAAGGGGCTTGCGCCAACCCTGGCCCCTGGTATGTTCTTCAGCTGGTCCACCAACCAGCCAGAGATGGATGGGACTCCTTCGACCCCTACAAACACACGACTGACATCACAGAGAAATACCTACTGAAAATACATTATATTACAGGTACTGAACCTATGCCGTCGTTCCTGTCAATTTTAATACCTGAATCACTCCACCTTACATACGTATCTTTAATATCATCGAATGTAAAATATGAGGAGGGATTCTAGGTCGAACATGAAAACCGGTAGCAGTGTAGTGGTAGTGGCAGACATCTTGCAAAACCGCTTAAGTTTGTTTACAATCCAGATGTTTCACATTACACTTTTCCGCAGTCAGAATGCGCCTCAACATTACGTTTGAATTGGGACGGTTCAATAAAAACCAAAACAATGTCCTCATATAATTTGAATATATAGTGTATACTTAGTATAAATCATATGCATTCAATACGTCCGTATCTAATTAGAACATCTATTGCATTCATTTGGTGTAATTCGTATGAATTAAAACAATCCAGACTTGAATATGTTTACTTACATTGTTTAACACACGTGTACAAGTCGAAAGCTTGTTAAGCATAATTGTTTTGTTGTTTTGTCTAATGGTTGGACCTGCCTTGCTTCATGAGTATCCAGTTACAGTCCAGGGCATCCTCCGCCTCGTCGTGGTAGCGCCCATCTGTCCATACCGCCGCATCGTTCGCCAGAACCACCGCCGTGCCTGACACGAACCACATTAAACTTCCATGATATCAGCAAAACAAATATTCGAACATTTTTGATAGTTTGACATTTTTTTCAGCGTATTCTTCCACTCTAATCAGTCACACTTTCAAAGGAATGGTATGGACATTTCATCAGTACTTAGCTGAAATAAACACTTAAAGATATATTTCATGCCATTTTAAATTCATCTCATTAGATATTGCTATATCCCCACGTCACATGTTTTCGATTCTCACCTCTTTTTCGAGCTCCTAAACAATAAATAACTACGCGCTTCATGACGTTAACAAGGTTGACGCCTCAAAGCCCACTGAAGACATCAAAGTGTTCGCCACTTGTCTCTGTTATGTTACGAATTAAGCTACACGGGGTAAGATATTCAATAAGTAATGAAAACATACCCCAAATATTTGCTTTTTATCTTGTGCACATTTTAATCAAATTTGATCTGATGATAATTTTGCGCCAGAACAATCGTATGCACCGATGATGTATCGGCTGCTGTTTGTCAACTTCCTGTCTGTAATGTCATGTGACTGATCATGTTATGCATCTGTTTTTAACTTCATGGTAATGGAGGTGCTCGAAATCATGTTACGGTAACACGATGGTAACGTCTTAACACAAGCAGTATCGAATGTACCAATGTGTGTGTGTGTGTGTGTGTGTGTGTGTGTGTGTGTGTGTGTGTGTGTGTGTGTGTGTGTGTGTGTGTGTGTGTGTGTGTGTGTGTGTGTGTGTGTGTGTGTGTGTGTGTGTGTGTGTGTGTGTGTGTGTGTGTGTGTGTGTGTGTGTTGATACCAACCAGCTGATCCCGTGAAGCCTGATATATAGCCTCTCCGTTGGTCAAAATTCGAGGGGTACTCGCTCTGAAATTACAGGGAAACTCGTTAATCCATGCAGTGGGATGGGATGCCGGACTCGCGATCACTTTGGCTGATGACGAATTTCAATTGCCCTGCCTGTAATAAAGTATGGTTCTTTGAGCAATTTATTTAAATTAGGTCATTGCTTCATTAATTAGCATTACTCAGCATGCTGCTGTGTGGAGTTGCGACCCTTAGCCTAACCAGGAACCGATATTCGGCCCGATTATATTTGTCTGATCTGTAAGAACTTTATCCGTGCTCGTTTGTTTCACCAAAGTGGTAACACCCTGGGGAGGCGCCGCTTTATATGTTCCTCCTACATTAAGCTGACACGCCGTGATATCACCAAAATATTGTTCAAAGTTTCATGAAACCCAACCCAATCACGTTTAACGTGATTTCATGTACATATTTCTGTGTATCATGAATGTGATAACACACATGGAGCAGTCACCTGATGGGCGTCCTCGTTGGGCACAATGTAAGCATGCACTGCTCCTCCGGGCACTTCACCAAACAAACGTCTGATTTCAGCTAACCGGGCCGTTGTGTCCACCACAGTTGGTGGTGGCGTCTAGGAACAACATATTAATGTATGTATTATTCAATGATATATGTGCAAGTTAGTGATTGACTTATATAGTGAAGCATCGTTATGTAAAGCATCGACAATCTACTGCTCAAAACAGAAATGCATGTCAAGAATGCTTGTGTGGTAAGTAACACATTTACTGTACAAAACGTTAGATTAGCCCGCTTGGTCTGCAGTGCATGTACAAACCGTTGCAGTGCAGGATCACGCTGTCGTACCCGGTGATCATTCGGGTTCAGTCCTGGTGATTTGGAAAATTATGGGAAGAACTGTCTATTGTGCTTGTGTTGGAATGTTGCTGTTTGCGGACTATCGTTATCGTGTTGAAAGCTGATTTTAGCACCTGACGCCTTACACGCCTTGCATCAGGTTTGTTCTGACAGTATGGGAGTTTTCCGCCCTCATAACTACGCTGTCCCCGTCAAATCTGTCTGCCTCCCCTGTCGGCGACAAACGTTAATGCCGACGTCGGTACTACCTTGATACAATCAGTTCGAATACAGCTGAACCAAACCGTTCTCAATTGTTGTTCGGCCATATTTTGTGTGCATTAAGGTGTTGATGCGACAAAACAGTTATGACAGACCGTCTGGCTCTGAGACCTGCATCGCGGAGGTCGTTGTAGTGGATGTTGTGGTACATCTTTGCTGCGGTTTAGGACAGCCGTTGTAACACGGGGTCGGCCTAACCTTGTGGTCACGTACCAAGCTGGTGGTGCTGATACCAACATCAGGGAATGCTAGGACACATTGAATACCCTGGCTAAGGCCGACTACGAATCTCCTGCTTCCAATCGCCCCACGACTTCGCTGTTGCTAACGTTTTGGCAACTGAGAACTAGCCACTAACCATAGACCTATTCATGATGTTTCACGTGCATCAATCCTGTGTTTTCTTTTGAGGAGTATATGCCACCAATATGCCAGTATATATATGCCAGTATATATACTGAAGCGCAAAAGAAACGTCACCCAAGGTAACATTGCATGAAAAGTTGTCATTTATATATCTGGGTAATTTTTGTCTAAGTTTCCTTTACCTTGTCCGGAAAAATGAAATTTGATGATAAAAAAACAAAGCAGATGACAATAAAACCGATCGCCCAAACGCATCACAGAAACGGCCATGGTAACCCGATGCACGTTCAGTGCAAATTGAAATGCACATGCATTCCCCCATTTCTTGCCCTATAAAAATCCACCCAGATCGGATAACATTCATTCGTTATTGAATTGCTACCACATGCCAAGATTAACAAGAAATCAGCGACACCAAGCCCTTGGACGATTGCAAGCTGGACAAACTGCCCCGCAAGTAGCCAATGCATTTCAAGTCCACGTAAGGACCATAAACAGGCTCCAGCGACGGTACCAGACCACCAACAATACAGATGACCGACAACGTAGTGGAAGACCAAGGGTCTCCACCCGACGTCAGGATCGTCATATTGTGCGACAACATCTTCAAGATCGCTTTGTTACTGCTGCGGAAACTGCACAACAGACCATGCGGACACACCAGCGACACATTACTGCGGACACCGTGCGTCGACGATTGACGAGCAGACACCTCCACTGTCGCAGGCCACACCGAGGACCCATTCTGACACCACGTCATCGTCGGAACCGTCTTCAGTGGGCAACACAGCACCAGCATTTGTGGAGAAGGATCCTCTTCTCAGACGAGAGCCGTTACTGTATCTCAACAGCAAATGACAGAGAGAGAGTCTGGCGACGCCGTGGGGGACGTTATTCAGATGCTTGTGTTGTTGAGAGAGACTCGTGGGTTGGGACGATCGCGAGCATCATGGTGTGGGGTGGAATTGGTCTTGCACAGAGGGTCGGCCCTGTGGGCTTCCAGAACATCGGTCCAGGGAGAGGCAATGGTGTCACAGCAGCTCGGTACATTGATCAAGTCTTGAGACCACACACCATACCTCATTTGGCACGTCGCCGCAACCACGAGTTTCAGCATGATAACGCCCGTGCCCACACTGCGAGAGCAACAAGAGACTTCCTCCAGCAGAATGGCATCAGAACCATGCAGTGGCCTGCCCTCGGTCCCGATTTAAATCCCATTGAGCACCCGTGGGACGAGATTCAAAGACGGCTGAATGACGTCCGACCAAGGTCAACAACTGCAGCTGAACTGTGTCAGGCGTTCCTCAGAGTGTGGGCTCAAGTGCCTATGGCCTTCATCAACCGCCTCATCCATTCCATGTATCGACATTGGACAGCAGTCATCAATGCACATGGCGGACACACGAGATACTGACTTGTGATGTCATTTTCGCAGAGACTAGTGTTGTGTTTCACTTTAAGAACATTTGACACTTTAATTTCAACCTTGATGATCGGTTTTGCCAAGATTCATCTTTTTAATATGTCTCAAAGTATGTTTACAAATAAGGTTTCTCATATATCTAGCCATGGTGACGTTTCTTTTGCGGTTCAGTATGTAATTCTCACCGCTCCGGGTTTGCAGTTGGGCCTGTCTTCCACGGCTAAACGTCGATGCCGTACGTGTAGAACCCCTTGACCTAGGGGATCACACAACGCCAGTGCCACTGTGAGTGCAAGAGAAAAACTCCGTCAGTGGCTATAATTTATCCACTGGTTATCTAACCGTTACATCCTGCACAGTTTTGAGTTACAACTAAAGATGTTAAGTGTTGAAGGGTGAGAGAGTCAATGATGTTCAAGGGGGCACGGGTGGCCCAGTCGTCTAAGGCGCCGCGATTCGCTGTGCAGAGTTGCGTCCCTTGGGAACCCCAGAAACCTAAGATTATGGGTTCGAATCCCGGTTCGCCCCGATTATGTTTCTAGGTTTGTCAGCACCATACCCGTGCTCTTGGGTTTCACCGAAGTGGTAAACGTCTGAGACCTGCATCACTTCGGACTTTTCTCCCACATTAAGCTGACACGCCGTGATATAACTGGAATACTGTTAAAAGCGGCGTTAAACCCAACTCACTCACTCAATGATGTTCAACGTCGCATTTAGTTCATTGGGAATTTGATAAATAATCAATACATGTTGTTGACATTTAATGTATTAATTTAATTACGATCAACTGAGTTGAAACAACCACTTTGTTCTTAACTAAAGACTCCTAATCAGGATTTTCTAATTATCTGAGAGAAGGGTTATTACAAGTTTGGTTTCGCGCAGGCTTCTGCAGTACTTATGTTACATCACGGCGTGTCAAATCCATGTTTCAGGAAAGCCTTAATGGATAAAGTCCAATACGTTAACCACTCCAGTGAAATCCACAAAAACTCGAGTTCAATGTGGCAATGCAGATCTTACTATCGATGTAAATGTTTTCACATTTAACGCGGCGCAATCGTTTCGCTAGGTCGAAAAAGGTTGCACAAATCCTCCGTTTCATATGTCTCTCCTCTTTCTATAACTGCTGTCGATCTTTTATTTTTAAAATGTTACTTATTTGTTAGAAGGACATTCGGAGGGGGTCGTACCCAGGGTGTAAATGTCTGAATAAGCTCATAAAGTAAAAGTAAGTTCAAAGAAACTTTTGAAAGCTTCAAATATGACGACCCACTCGAACCACGATGGTGTCATGAACTTACGGTGGAAGCAACAACGATTCATGGAAACTTGAACACAATGTCTACATACCTGTGGCAAGTAAAATTGTGAGTGTTCCCCACGCCATCTTCCAAACAGCCTTGCCCTATCACTCACACGAGCTCACAAGAGGAGGCGAAAGCCTAACTGTTATCCTGATTTGTTTACCCGAAGACCATCTGTATAACCTTGTAAACGTCCCAGACACTTGACGTTAAACCACGCCTAGACTGACTGACGTTTATGGCACCCTTCTAAACTAAACACTGTGACAGGAGTATCTCTTTATCAGCTTAACTACAGTCCGGTATTTGCTTAACTTAAATTTAAAGGAGGAATCGTTATTTGATCACGCGTCATTTGGACAAAAAAAATTATATCGCAATACAGACAGTTCATTCAAGATGAGACTTTGTTTCGCGTGTATTTCACGCAAAATGATGTATTTTTAAGATAAAGAAACCAAACCAGTACATTGGCTAATAAAGCTGCTGTCGCACGATACGAGGCGCCTTCCTGAGCCACCATGGGGAGTATAGATAAAGATGGAAGTAGATCAAGAACTTATAAAGGATCTATAAACACATAAATCTTATGATTAATCGAAATTGTACAATGGACGCCTTACGCGGCGATAAAGGATTTTGTCGCTTTTCTTAAGGTGTTATGGACGTACTACCGCGTTCAAAACAATAACACAATGCATACTAATGGAAAATATATAAATCTATTTTGAAATTAAATATGCATCTTTCACTTTAAGGTCGTTTGCACGTACATGTTAGTGCACGGCGTTTAGTTTGGATGTTTGCGTGTTTGGTGGGAGCATGATACCCACAGACGTGTTTATTTAATGTAAACAGAAAGCAATGATTGATTAGCTATCCGGTGCTCATAAAACACTTTTTATCGACTGTAAATAACGATTACGCAATGCACAGCTTACAGAAAATAGAAGTACACGCGCCGTGGGGATACTGCAAACAGGAATGGCCCAAAACGAAGTTACCAGGCATTTTAATATACATCGAACACTAAATCATCTCTTTGGACACGTTGTCTTCAGCAGGGCAACACTCATGAGTTGCCATGGGCCGGTCGTCCAAGTGTGACGTCACGTCAACAAGACAACCATATTCGGTTGGTGCATCTGCGGAATCGATACCAAACTGACACATTAACAGCTCGGACAATTTCTGGGTTGAGACCAACAATTGGCAGAACCGTACTCAACTTTGAGGGAACACAACATCCGGCCCCGACGTCCAGCGATACGCCCAATTTGGCTTCCACGTCACCGCCAGGTACGCCTAGCTTTGTTTCGACAGCATCTGCGGTTCTCGAGGCAAGACTTGGACAATATACTGTTCCAAGATTGTCCGGGTTTCATCTGGAAAGCTCTGGTGGTAGAGCAAGGGTCTACAGGCGTCAAGGAGAACGTTTTACAGACGCTTGAATTACTCAACGTCGCCAGTTCGGGGGTGAAAGTGTTATGGTATGCGGCGGCATAATAACTGAACGGCATATGCTACTGGGACGACATCGTTCGAGGCCATGTTCTACCCTCTCAGCAAATGCAGGGACGTAACGTCACGTTGCAGCAGAATAATGCCCGTCCACATGCTGCACGTGTTGTAACACACTAATTGAGGCAGCATAACATTGCTATACTGCCACGGCCGACTGTTTCTCCAGACCTGATCAGACGAATAACCAAATATTATGTTGTTATTTTCAATAACATTACATTTAAACCACTTTATATTAGGCACAGTTACTTTTTCCCGCTTATATATAAAGCAAGAAATGGTTTCGTTTATTTTGCGCTTGAGTATATTACCACGACCGTTGATGTGAAGAGTGAGTTTATTACATGATTTAGGATACTATTGTTATTATCAGAATGACAGATTATGATTCACGTGGATTGGGATATGTGCAGAACTAGGTGTAATGCAGTGAATAAATTAACTGCACGTTATTTACTTAAATTTAAAACGTTTATTCACTTTATTCAAAATCCAATATAGTGTGATCATTAGCAAAAGGTACTGAATGAACATAACTACTTAGATGGAAAAATTGATTTATATTATTGTTAGCAGATCATTGCTTTTGCAGTTTAAATCGATAAAAATCACAAAAATCAGACCCGTGACAGGCAGTCCCAAGATCCAGGGTTTGTCTCAAGTACGGTCATTTCCGGGTCAATGGATAGAAACTAAATTGTAGCAACCGCCCTATACATAGAGGCTTGACATACACTAGTCGGTGATTGGGTTGTTTTACATCGAGGTCAGCAGTATAACGTCTGTATTACGACCGCCTTTCAAAAAAAAGAGATGAGGTGAACTTGGGTTTAGCCTCACGTTCAGGTTTGTTTGTGTATGTGCGTGGCTGCTTGTACTATTCCGGTTTTATAGTGATACAAAAGATACCCAGTCGCAGTTCTAAACCGACTCCAAGCAGAGCGCTAGGCAGGGTGGCAATGAGTACTATTTCATAACGTTTGGCACGACCCGGACCAGGGATCGAACAACCGACCTTCCGGCAGACAACACAAATGCGGTGTCTCCCCGGTACTATGACACATAGCCAGCCAGGTCATACGTTGTAACTTCCAGATGGACATAAGCTATTCTGCCCTGGATATAACCTAAGACTCGTGCGTGTGTGTGGTGTGGTGTGTGTGATGTTGTGTGCATGGAGTGGGTGTCAATAGTGTGCGTGTGTGTGGTGTACGTGGGTGTGGTGTGGTGTACGTGTGTGTGGTGTGCGGGTGTGTGTGGCGTGGAGTGCGTCTTTGTGGTGTGCGTGGTGTTGTGTGCATGGAGTGGGTGTCAATAGTGTGCGTGTGTGTGGTGTACGTGGGTGTGGTGTGGTGTACGTGGCGCGGAGTGCGTCTTTGTGGTGTGCGTGGTGTACGTGGGTGTGGTGTGGTGTACGTGTGTGTGGTGTGCGGGTGTGTGTGGCGTGGAGTGCGTCTTTGTGGTGTGCGTGGCGTGGAGTGCGTCTTTGTGGTGTGGTGTGCGGGTGTCTGGAGTGGAGTGCGTCTTTGTGGAGTGCGTATGTGTGGTGTGGAGTGCGTGTGTGTGGTGTGCGTGTGTGGTGTGGAGTGCGTCTTTGTGGTGTGCGTGTGTGTGGAGTGCGTATGGGTGGTGTGGAGTGCGTGTGTGTGGTGTGCGTGTGTGGTGTGGTGTGCGGGTTTGTGGTGTGGAGTGCGTGTGTGAGGCGTAGTGTGCGGTGTGCGTGTGTGGTGTGGTATGGTTAGGTGTGTGGTGTGCGTGTGTGGTGTGGAGTGCGTGTGTGTGGAGTGCGTTGTGCGTGTGTGTGGCGTGGTGTGCGGGTGTGAGGTGTGGTGTGCGTGTGTGTTGTATGTGTGTGTGTGGCGTGGTGTGCGGGTGTCTGGTGTGGAGTGCGTGTGTTGTGTGGAGTGCGGGTGTGTGGTGACTGACAGATCTGTTGCTGACGACCGGTTTCCTCGCACCGTACTCAGCGTTCAGTGTTTTCGATGCACAGAAACCATCATGAACAGGCATAAAGTTTTTATTCAATACAAGATTTCCATACAAAAATAAACATGGAATCATACAAATTATACCGTTTCTGTTTAGAATTCACAAATATAAACAACATTCTACAACAATCTGGTATGAATGTACACCACATACAGCAGCCTTCTGATTATTCCACACACGTCTCATGGTTGTATATTGCAAGGCAACAGTAATTAAAACACTCTTTGGAACCTTGTAGGTAGAGTTAAGAAGATGTACGTGGGATTCAACGAAGAATTTAATATACCTAAGCAAATCTATTAAAATAAAGCTGAGTTTGAGATTTTATTCAATAAAGGTTCTTGTTCGTGGCGACCCCGTAAAGATTCATTGTGACAATGTTATAGATCTAGGGTATGTAACTACTCGAACAAATGCCGTCATATTATTCTTTCCAGATAGGTTATTGCAGCTCATAGGTGTATCATTATGCCATTGTGTCACCGTGTCATTAATGTCAAGCCGGTATTCTCTGATAATTTCAAAGGTACTTGATGTACGCCCGAACAGTAACCAAAGTTCGACTGTGGTCAGCCTATGCCATAATACCCTATATCATGGCGAAATGAAGACATTGTAGTGGTGCATGATATGAAGTCAAAGGCAAAGAGGTAAAATTGCATACTTGTTTAAGCAGGAAATGAACGTAAGGCACAAGTGGATTCCTATTATTTTACTTACTATCATATTTAAACTAGTCTAGATTTATTTTATTTTATTTTTAAACAAACATCTTCAACATGTCTAAATACTTCTCCAATAATTAAAGAGGATCCCTTAAATATTGGGGCATTTATTGTTAATACTGCAAACAGTAGCATATATGTTCGTACAATCGAAAACAAGAAACTGGTAAGCTACTGCACGACACGTCATCGTATATCTACAACGGCGGAGTAAAGGTGTACATAATTAGGACGATCGCGAGAATACGAGTATCAGGGACCCGTGAAGATCCGGGGTAGAATATGTCTTCAGCAACCCATGCTTGCCGTAAAAGGCGACTATGCTTGTCGTAAGAGCCGACTAACGGGATCGGGTGGTCAGGCTCGCTGATTTGGTTGATGCATGTCATCGTATCCCAATTGCGTGGATCGATGCTTATGATGTCAATTAATGGATTGTCTGGTCCAGACTCGATTATTTACAGACCGCTGTCATATAGCTGGAATATTGCTGAGTGCGGCGTTAAACAAACAAACAACTACGAGTATTAGATTTTATAGTAGGACCGGGTCATAATTCCCAGTATAAAAAATGAAAAAAATTATTGAAATTTATTTTGAAATCTGAATTTGAACCCAATACTACCAGTTGACAGCATTTACTCGTAACTTACAGAAATAGCATGTTTACATGTCTTGGTTTCACCCCGACCGTATACAGGCGGACCGTATATAGGCGGCATCCGCGTTCACACCTCCTGGGACCCTCCACTGTCACCGGCACACGACGGGGACGGGGATGAACGTGTGAGTGGCTTACAGCGTTCAGCTAGTCTAAGAAAGTGATACTAGTATGTATATCATGAGAATCGCGGTTAACGAAATCAAAATATTCTAAATAACCAGGGCAAACTATCTTCAAACTGAAAATGACTGGATTCATCGCAATGACATCACCGACAATACGGCAGCCCCCATCATGAGCAGCGCAGTGGGAGCATACGTCGTGGCGGAGCTCGTACTCTGGTTAGATATGGACAGGGTTCTTGCCTTCACCCACTGCAGTGCAGCTCCACTCAGCTTTGGTCCAACCTCCTGCTCAACACGTTTGTGGTAGTCATTGAGCCACTTGATCTGCAACACCGAGGTGTGTTTGGTGAAAGTCATTCGAAATACTGAAGACATAAACTTCGTATCGTTGTGTAATGTAACACGGATTATTTTTGTATAAAATAGGTATCCGCGTTGTAGAACGTATTTACAAACATGATTAGTGTTGTATAAAACGTTTTCATTTTTGTTGTATACAACGATCAGCATGTTACAATGTTAATCATCGATGTTGTGGAAACTATATTACAGTAAACTACGGTTAAAACGAACTCGAAGGGACCACTAATTTTAGTTGGTAATAACCGTAGTTCGTTATAAGGATATATACAGCCTTTATACAACAAATGGTCGGGACTAAAAATAAGTTTGTTTTATCGGTCAGTTCGTTATAAGCGTGTTCGTAAAAAAACGTCGTTTACTGTACCAGTATTTATTTTACTGTAGAGGTTCAAAATATACAAAAGCGACGTAACATTAGACGAGAATTAGCCAGTTCCATCATATCTCACCTGTTTTGGCCCAAGCATGTCAAAATTGATCAGATTTGGTTCATACGGCACCAATGTGACGGGTTTGAATCCCAAGAACACTGAGTTGGGGAATGGATGCTGTAATTAAATAAATGAAACATATTTCAAGGATTATAATTTCAAAACATCAGCAATATATGTACCCATATATAACAGTAACAAAATGTATTTACCGCATTTCCTCTATAGACGCCTGGTCGTCTATCAGTTTCGCCCCGTCCGTTGACTTGGCGTCTATTCGAGAGCCTCGGGGCCTATTCATTTTAATGCTGGCACAGCGGCAACTCAAAACCCTAATTCTACAGTCATGCAAAGGGTACATTTCCAGGAAGCAGTCATTATCATTCACCAATATATCACAGCATTAGAGACCCGAGTGAGTGATTGAGTGAGTGAGTGAGTGAGTGAGTCAGGTTTAACGCCGCTTCCAGTTATATCGCTGCGTGTTAGCTCACGTAGTAGGAAAGCCCGAAGTGATGCAGGTCTGTTTGTGAAACCCACGAGCACGGGTATGGTGCCGCGAACCTTGACACATTATCGGGGCAAACCGGAATTCGAACCCACGATCATAGGTTTCTGACATGCCCAGGCAACGCAACTCTGCACAGCGAATTGCCTCAGAGGACATGGCCACTCGTGCCCCTGGAATTTAATTGACGCCAATAATAACCCACTCTTTAGTCTGAGTCGAAGCCGAAGAACCAAGAACTACCCTACCCAAGAACTATTTTCCTTACCGCTGTCTGTGCAAGTTCTATTGTGACAATGGTCTCCAGACGAATACCGAATTGGCCGTCCTCGTAGTAACCAGGCTCTGTAAAACATGAAATAAATTGGAAGAAGAGTTACAACAGAACCTTTACTCACAGTTAAATGTATCACTGTAGCCTCGTTAGACATATAATTTGCACCTGAAGAGAGTTTACAGAAGACGCATTATAATGCTGGCTTTAAGGATATGAAACGAAATGACAAAGTCAGCTACTTATAATTCAGTGGGATCGAACTTGCAATCTTCATATTTTAACCAGTAAGTGAAACGTTACGCCACAGAGACTAATAAACCATAATGCTGTTTATAAGACGCTCCGGTCCATGTACGCCAGCAATAGATATTTTACGTCCGTTTCTTAGGGTTCAAGGAAAGTGTGCTGGAAACAAGAGTATTGGCAAATGTTGACACAAAAATTAAACACTCGGGGAGGGCCCACGGGTTTGTCCCTCATGGTTACAGTTTCTGCCAATCCATCGGGAGTGTTTGTAATTGTTTACATTTTACATACATACTAGAATTGTTCCATGCCGTCGGGGTATGAATTCACATTGTAACCACCGATCTTCAATAGGTCGGCTCTTAGCTGGGGGTACTATCCTCAGGATGATGGTACACGCAGGATGGACATACAGTGATGTTCATGGTGTCGCTGTTTGCAACAGTACAGGGACGGTCAGTTTAGGCAACTCCTACCTGGGTAACATCATACTGACCGGGTTGGGATGACAGAAATGACCAGTATGGAAAGCGGAACAATCACGCCCAAAAAAACGCAGGTCGCAGATGTCTACGACTTTGGTAATATCCATGAGTGTGGGTATGGTTTGTTTGTTTGCCCACCGCCCGCAACACGCCATCTATGTAAGTATGGTTTGCGCCGTTTTAATTAATAAAGGGACACCAACAATCCTTCTGGGGAAACAGCGTGACATTCGAACGTCTTGTCAACCAGACTATCCCACCTCTCCACTTACCATCTGAGAAATACATGTGCTCCTCTAACGCCTCATCACTGGGGTTGACGTTGTGGGACAGGGAGATTCTGCCCGGCCCCTCGTGGACGCTGAGGAAGGCCCCGATCCCGTGCCCCGTGCCGTGCAGGTACCGCAGACCTGCCTCCCAGAGGGGGGCCCGGGCGATAGCATCAATCTCACGCCCTGTAACAGAGATCAGCCCATCCTCAACAAGTGGTCGTGTCGCACATCGGACACGTATAATTTTTCACTGTTGGTAGATGCTGTTGAAGATACGATTTTTAATCCTTGCACAATTTAAAAGAATACATGAACACATTATTTTACATCTTAGGTTTAACATGGACTTAAAAGGGGAGAACCACAAACCACTTATTACCCAATGTTATTTGGGGCATTCATTGACGATTACCAAGATAACAAGAGATGGCGGTACTTCTAACAACGTAGATGCCCCGACTGGAATTGGGCCCCAGAAAGTGGACTGCATTCTGAACAAGTCAGTTTCCAGAGTGAATTTGAAAAAAAATAAAAATTAAAAGAACCGGGGTATATTTTCCTCTCTCCCCTGTAATGTCCCGTATGCTTAAAAACCATAAACCTGAAACATAACGTTTCTTCTTCTTTTTCATGTGTCAAAAGTAATTTAAAACATTACTACATGTTGTTATTATGTTTCCTATTTAAGAGAAAACATTTTCTCCAGAATTTCAAAATACTTATCTTGAAACTATTGGAGTAACTATTTACCGTTTGATGACAACATTAACACACGACCATCTCCATCTCTATCTCCATCACCATCACATCCACATTTAACAACTTTTGATGTGATATCGAAAATGCTCCTTCCAGGAACATCTCAAAGAGCATCACACCACTCTTGCTCAAAAGTTGATTGATCTGGGTTACAGCATTCAATATTTTATTGACAAAATTTATGTCCGATTCAATTCCTGATTTTGACTTGTACCACATAATCCCTTGTTCGTTTCATGCCTTTGCATGTGTTTGTGATGGGTGCGACAGGTGGAGAAGGGTATCCTCTTTTTTCGCGAATTTGGTATTATTACTATCGGCTAGTGATTAAGAAACATATGCATAGACAGAGCTCCAGATAAGCTGCGTATCTGCGTGAAATACGCATCAGAAATGCAGAAATACACAGTAAAATATAATCCAAGCGTATCAAATACGCAACGAACATTACAGATACGCTACAAAAATAAAACTTGTGCGTATCATCAAAATATTGCGAAGTAACCCTGCGTATTCGATTAGCAAATCAGCAACTTATTTTGAAATTATAAAGGGGCATTCCGTCAACCTTGCCAAACTCCACGATGACAGTTACATCATGATCATTTGCCATCACACTTTCTTGTGGAAGTATCGTGGTATTTTTGAGTCCTATAAAGCTCTCGAACCCACACGACACCAGTTTGCAGGGACCAGATGAATAGTGTTTTTAAATATTTAACTTAAATACCCACATGTGTAAAAACTAGTGGGTAACAGAAATTTGAATACGCAGGTAGAATTACTGATACCCAATGATTTTAAAATGCATGGGTAAAATACCCACAACACCAAAAGCTTATCTGGAGCTCTGCATAGATATAGTCGGAATCCTACAATGGTTACTGTTTTAACAGATATTTCTTATGGTTATGGAAAGGGTTTGTCACTTGCATTTAGATGTGGACACGGTGCAACATACCAGAAAGGCTGGATAAATATGATGTATCCCCGCAGTGATATTGCTGGGTTATTGACAATTGCGATGTAAAATGTAATGAGTAATACTTTGGACCCATTCGCCACCATAGCTCCGTTCATATGGCATCAAGCTTAACATAACCGTCGAATCAAATTACTCGCATGAGCGAGAGGCAATGTGTGCTAAAAAAAAGGCGAGATAGAAATAGAGTAATGCTTTTTCCGAAACCAAGATATAGTGGCGAATAGGTCCAGGGTATCCATCAAGATAGAACAGAATAGTTTTTACTGGATTGTCGAGGCCAACGGGATAAAAGCGTTAAGGGACAGGACTCGGCACAACATCGTCACAAAATGGACGACAAGTTTACTCTACACCCTGTAACTGTTCGAACATACACCGTGCACCAGCAGTGTGTCTCAGGGTGGAATACTCACCGTAGAGCCCTTTAGGCCACTTGAGCAGAGCGAGGTCGATATGTCCCATAAGTACTCGAGTGTAGCACTCCTGGGGAACAACACAAACACCGGTATGATTTCCTAAACATTTCGTTGACCTATCATTATACCAGTACACACAGAAACAACATCATATATTTGACTATCAATGGCAGCAGCCAAACAGTTTTGATGACAGACAAAATGCGGGCCAGTGGTAGAGCAATTGTGGTCCTTGGCCTGGATCCGTTGGTCCGGTGTTTGAATCAAGATTCCCTTTAAGACTACTTGGCCACCTGCGTGGAATAATGCTATGGGTAGACTGGGTGTGTCGTCTCCTCTATGTCCTTCTTCTTGCTGCAAAATTTACCCAAGTATGGAAAAATCCAAACAGCTTGAAATATAATTCACCATAGAGCTTTTTTTACCTTTTCGTAGTCTGAAGGTTGTCCAAAGTGAAGCGTTCTGGTCACGTCGGTGGTGCCGTCCCTACGAAAGAAAGAACGTATACAATCATAAGAAGTCACTCAGCAATATTCCAGCCATATGGTGGCGGTTTGTTAATAATCGAGTCTGGACCAGACAATCCAAAGATGGATATCATAAGCATCGATCCACGCAATTGGTAATACGATGATATGCATCAACGAAGTCAGCGAGCCTGTCCACTCGACCCCATTAATCGCCTCTTACGACAAGCATAGTCGCCTTTTACGGCAAGCATGGGTTGCAGAAGTCCTATTCTTACACACGCACGTGCATGCAGGTAACTTTATAAGTGAACGATAAACCCTACTTTCACTTCACCTCAACTTTAATTATTATCTCAAATAATACGCTTATCAAAACATAGACTTTCCCACTTACAAACTGAGTAACACAGGAATCAGTGAGTGAGTGAGTTTATATTTGACGTCGCATCGGCAATAGTTCAGCCATATAGCATCGAAGGGAACAACAAAGAAACGAAACCAAACGAAAAACGCTGAACATTATGATCTCTTACAGATATTGCCCGCCCGAGTCAAGAAGGAACATGTCAGACGTGGTGATCTGTTTGTCTGTGACGTTGGTGGGGCGGTAGTGGATGATGGCGCCGTTAGATCCTGATCCGGCTATGGTGGGGAAACTTAGTCCACGGTTCAATTCCTGCTTGCTGGAACATTATATATTCTTTTAACATTGCTTTAAAAATACAAAACAGTAAATACCGATTTTCATGCTTATTTGGGTTTTTTCTGAAATTACGTGACGTATATTAGGACGACAATGCTAAACAACGTTCATTACAATCTCATTAAAGTCACAACTTTTACTCTTTTTACAAGTCCTCTCTTCCCTCAGCTCTCAGGTGAATCCTGAGCGATCTTTAATTGCCCAATCAAAATGAAGGAAACGTGAGGTCTTGGGCCAATCAGGTGTCAGCTTTCTGAAACGATTCGGCTTTCAGCATTTTTCGGCATTTTTCAACCACTTCGATTCGGAAATTTTGAATTTTAACAAAAACAAAACCACACAGAATACACATATTCCTTCAAAAGTTCTCCCTTTTGGGTGTTGATGCCACAGCGCCCAGATACGACAGGGTGAATGAAAGATCCACAACGATATTATGGCGCGGAAGTTATCGTTTACACTCGGAACAAGCAGATTAATTTCGTTTTCGAGATACAGAAATCAGATAAGTGGATAATTCACTGGTACCGAGAATTTAGAAGCCTCGAAGGCTGATTGGGTGATTAGAAAGTTCACCAGACGCGACCTTCTATAGAAGTGTCAAAACGTCGCTATATGGCTGAAATAATGCCGATGCGACGTAACATGTTAACTCACTCACTGGAAATGTCATCATATCTTCACAAAAGTCACCTCATCAGCGTTAAAGACCTGGTCATAATGAGAATACCTTCAATATTACATCACTATTTACTTAATATAAATATAGTCACTGTGATATCACCATCACTCCAGGCATCAATATCGCCGCAAAATCTTCACCACAAACAACAGACCGAACATCAACATCAGCTCCCAAAATCATCATCATCATCATCATCATCATCATCAAAATCATCATCATCATCATCACCATCATCATCATGCGCTATACATCATCATTCCCAACATTGTAATCACTATCATCCGAATTGTGATTATATCATCATCATCATCATCATGCGCAATATAATCATCGTCCTCACTATCACCATGATCGTCATTGGCATTGTGATTATAACTGCAACCATTTACATGTTTATGGTCATCGACATCCTTATTTCTAACATCAGCATCAGCATCAGCATTTCGTATGTCATTCCTGTACTCACAATCTCTCTTTCTTCAGTTCCACAGCCGCCTTCACCTCCGTCCACGGCTGTCCTGCCTTCACCTGATATATGGAATCAGTCATATCTCATATGTCATATCTCATCACACCGTCGTCATGGTAAAAAGAGATGTCTCACATAATCATTGAGATATTCGCTTACAGTATCACATGTTTATATCACAATTCGCAATTAAACATGAATTCATAATTCCCACTGTAATACATACAGAACCCTGTAGAAGTCATTTCGGATAATAGAAACATTTTTAGAGATCCATCCTTCCTTAACATGAGATCGACGCTTTACGCCTGGTTTAGCTCCATTGCAGCTTCACACATTGTATCCATGTGGGGAATCGAACCCGGGGCTTTAACTAGTACGCTACTACACCACCCGAGGAGCCACCATGAACACTTCTCATAGACCACTGAATGAGACAGCCATATGGAAGTGAGTGAGTGAGGATGGTTTCTACGCCGCTTTAGCAATATTTTAGCAATATTCCAGCAATATCACGGCGGGGGACACCAGAAATGGGCTTCACACAATGTCACCATGTGGGAAATCGAACCACGGTCTTTGGCGTGGCGAGCGAACGCTTTAACCACTAGGTTACCCCACCGCCCCTATATGATAGTACTGACATGTTACATGTAATATATACTACGTTACCTCTCGTTCCAATCTCTCCAAAAAGTTGATAAGGGCAACAGCATCTCGAATCTGAACAAACAAAGCGTTCATGTAAAATTTTCGGTAACTCTGTTGTTTGTTTGTTTGTTTGTTTGTTTGTTTGTTTGTTGTTTAACGCCGTACTCAGCAATATTACAGCTATATGATGGCGGTCTGTAAATAATCGAGTCTGGACCAGACAATCCAGTGATTGACATCACGAGCATCGATGAACGCAATTGGGATACGATGACATGCATCAACCAAGTCAGCGAGCCTGACCACCCGATCCCGTAGGTCGCCTCTTACGACAAGCATAGTCGCCTTTTACTGCAAGCATGGGTTGCTGAAGACCTATTCTACTCCGGACAACAAGGTGCATGTTAGTGGCAGCATCACAGCCATGACAGGAAGCATGTCTACATGTACCTTACTCAATGTGTATACTAGTATCAACAGCAGCACTTATACAACTTGCGGGCGGATCAGGCTCTCCATTGCAGGCATTGTAGAGAATTCTTCCCTTCCACCGGCGCACTTAATGTAAGGTGAGGTGAAATGGGCTTTAACGCCGCGTTCAATATAGCGAGATGTGTGTGTGTGTGTGTGTGTGTGTGTTTGTACGTGCGTACGTGCGTGCGTACGTGTGTTTGTGCGTGCGTACGTGTGTTTGTGCGTGCGTGCGTGCGTGCGTGCGTCCGGACTAATGTTGGTTTCATAGTGCTAACCCACCGGGATACCATACCGCAGTTTAATATGGATACCCCACTCAGACACCGTATATTACTGCCTAGCACCAGGGTGGTAACAACAAATACCATATTTTGACGTCTTTTTGTATGACGAACCACCGACATTCCCATTTCGCTCTCCTGGTATACGCTCTACCCAGTTGACCACGGAGGCGGTCCTGAACTTAATGATAACGTAAAACGTATGAACTAGATATAAGAACCCATTTCACATATCATTCTTGCAAGGTTAAGGAATTGCTATTTACATGTGATGCCTGCATCCCGGCCCTCTCGACGATGTTCTTCTTGGACTTCATCAAAGCAATGGCTGACTTGCCATGGATACGCTGGGCCTGTACGCAGTGAGATATCAACATGTCTCATGCCTTCTTAATCAAGTCATAAAAATAATCAAAATTCAAATTTATTACAATATTAGAGCGCCAAAACGGCTGTAAGCACTTACATGCAATTTACTGTTATTGAATGCATATTTTCTTGTTCTAATATCAAGTAACCATGTAACAGGAACCTGGTTAATGTGATAGAGTCAGAGTTGACCTACCTCTGGTATAGCACTGTATATAGCCTGGTTGCATAGCAGTGACACCCATACTTTATTACTGCTGTTAGAGGCGATGTCGGCGACGGCGGCAACGATTCCATTTGACGTGTAGGCAAGAACCTAAAAAAACACAAGAACGTATGAATATGAACAGTCACATTATTGGATGACTATGGAATAGAAATATACTTACTTAGTGATGACGTGTAAATAGTAACAAGAGCGCGTTTAAAATGCACATGGTGCCAATACGTTGTTCACAGACTAACCCAGATCTTGAACTCTTGTCCTAAGTGAAATAACATGATCCCAGGTCTGAAACACTTGCCACATTCTTACAGAAGGTACACAGTGGTTGCCATGTTCTTGTAGAAGATACATAATTGAGCGTTCTTAAAGTTCAATTACAAATCTAAATGCACTACCCTTTATATGAAGTATACTCAAATACTCAACTTGAAAGATGCGCTATTTGTACTGAATAATTTTTGTTTCATGATATGCATTTTAGTTGCCAAATCTGCCATCAATCCTAAACTAAGAAACCTCTTCCTGTGTGGTCCTTATTAATCATGCCATGTTTCTAACGTTTCCAGTAAACTGTTACATTTTCTTAGAATATTACATATTATCAGTTAATCTTACTCAATTTGTATTTATTTACTGTATTTTATGCAGTTCTAAATAGTCTCCCATAACTCAATGTTTGGTATATTACAAGTTCTAGATGAGACCCGGGTGATGTACTTGTCCTCTGTGAAGGAGTACCCATGTAGCCAACACCTTACCTCCACACAGGACCCCGTGGACGAAGCACAGGATCCGCCCATGCCGGTGTTGAGGTGTTCGTACAGTTTGCGTGTCGTGGCTGCATCTGTAGGCTCTTGCGTCAACTTGGTGGCGTGGTTCAGTATGTAAAGTCTGTGGACAAAGAAGAATCATCGTTAAAAGGTGACGTGTCGTAACTGACACAAAAAGCCATTGCATTTAATTAAGTAATTATACAACGCTTATGGCCATGTTGTTTAAAGTGGAGTAATGGTTTATTAACAGGTCCAGTCTTAAAATGACATATAATAATTCATCCAACGCGGGGCTTACTTCCCTTCAAAATCCTTTGTCCAAATCGTCCTGATGACATGCAGTTATATCCGTGTCATGTGATCTCCATGAGCCGGTATAGGGAGGATTGTGTCCTCTATGGCGGTATAAAATACACAACAGCAAGGAAAGTACATGGTATACATGTTACGAAAACTAGTTTGAAATGTGATTGTGTGTAACAGCATAGGGCGAAGCGTGCCACCACAACACACAACGCAAGTGCATTTCATGTCACGGTTTCGTTTTCATATTGTAGCCCGACAATAGAAATCATGTTTCCACACCAGTGACACCCAACATCGGCATATTTAAACTACTTAAATTCGCTGGCAGAATAGTCCAGAATATTCCATGTCTTCAGTAGGACGAGGTAGAAATGGTGTAACGTGCTTTTCACTGACAAATCGAGATTAAGCCTCGATGCCGTCGATGGTCGGGTCCTAATTGACAGTAGGGGCGGCTAACGCTACATAGACTGATGCGCCATGGAAGTGCATAGGTTCGGTGGAGGAGTATCATGGTTGAGACTGACGAATGGTGGAATGAAACAGGAATCTGTTATCGAGAGGAAATTCAGCCACGTTGTATCATTCCATTTGACCCGTGAAGATCCGGGGTAGAATAAGTTTTCAGCAACCCATTCTTGCAGTAAAAGGCGACCAACGGGATCGGGTGGTTAGGCTCGCTGACCTGGTTGATGCATGTCATAACATCCCAATTGCGTGGATCGATTCTCATGATTCAATCACTTTATCGTCTGGTCCAAATTCGATTATATACAGACCGGCGTCATATAGCTGGAATATTGCTGAGTGCGGCGTTAAACAACAAAGAAACAAACAAACATTCAATTTCAGGACAACGTCCACACGTGATGGTTCAGCACGACAACGCACGTCCACATATTACCCGAGTGAGTACACAGATAATTAGCAATGTGCCGCCCTGACCAGCATTTCCATCACATCTTCATCTCAGAACATTTCGGGCATAACTGGAACCGTGTCCTGACGACTCAAAGAACATTTGACCGCAGACAACCGGAATAGGTTCTCGTTGAGGGTGGATAGCCTGTCTTTCAAGGTTGCCAACAACGTCATTGAATCGTTGATCTGTCGCCAGTCATGCATAGCCATTGTCGATGGACACGCCACATGAGGAATGCCTGGTATTGTGATAATGTGGCCTTTCTTCAAGGGGATACCTATGCTCTGACGCATGTTTGCTGGAAACCCTGATTTGAGCAGAAGTGGCGCTCTCATTGGCATGTCTTTCTCACTTGCCTTTAAGGTCGGTATTATTAAATCATCACACATTTACACTGTGTACCTTTTTCTTTCTTTTGCTTAGTATACCTGCACAGTCAGGGAGTTGACCTTCTCCAAGAAAGTAACGTCAGTGTTTGACTGACGGGTAAACCGTTGCCTTATTATCAATCACGCTGTCATTAATTATCAACCTGCTGATCCAAACGGATCAACCCTTGTTTATTTACAGTTTTGTTCTGCAGCCCGACATTAGCCTTTGACCATATAGCTCACCTGACTCTGTTTCTCTCCACGATGGCATATGAGATGAAGAACGGGTTGTAGGCGATGTCGCTAGCACGGAGGTTGAAAAGCCCTGAGGAGGGTGCAACAAGATTATAATCACAGGTGTCATCGTCATATCATCACTTAATCTTTGATAAGTAAGACGATTAAATGCCTTGAGTAATGTCAAGTATATCCTGAAACCATGATGTCTGTGTCTGTGTCCGTGTGTGTCTGTGTCTGTGTGCGTCAATGTGTGTGGCTGTGTGTGTATTTACAGAAACTCATCAAACATACCTTCACTTTTATATTTATGGAGGACAAAACAATACTGAGAGAAATAAATAGAGCACAGAGCACACAGAGCAAATACAACGTAAGAAAAAGTCTTGCTGTGTTCAAGATAAATAATTGAGAAAATAAGACTTTGATTGAATGTTAATGCCAGATGTGTAACGCCAGTGGTATTTTTGGCTGTAGATATTATTGTAGATACTGGTGATTGTAACTGGCAGCAAATGAATGAAGCCTTCGTAAAATATATAGTGGCCTCCCTGCACTGGAAGTCTGATTTAGTAAATTAGGTATACCTCCCTCGGTTGGTTGTAAATTAGAGAAGTCTCCTGAGGTGACAGTTTCCTGAAGGCTGGTTGTACATATATAAGAGCGATTCGAGCAATTTGAGGCCTTCTAAGACCCGACTTGCGTCTTATCTCCTTGCCCACTGCGGACGGAATACCTACCTGAATACACCCACTTCCTTCCTTAAGAGTGAGTAAGTGAGTTTGGTTTAACACCGCTGAGAACAGTATTCCAGTTATACCGCGACATGTCAGCTTAATCGGGGGGTGGAGGGTTGGGTAAGTCCGAGGTGACGTAGGTAGGTCTCAGACGTTAACCACTCTGGTCAAACCCACGTCCACGCGTAGATGACAAACTTAGAAACATAATCAATGCGAATCGGGATTCGAACCCACGATCATTGGTTTCTGACGTGCCCAGTGGACGAATTGTGGCACGTTAGCCCACCTATTGCGTCCAATTTGGAAATCAGCTCGCAACAAACAACGAAGTCATGTTGCACCTAATCAGCTTGAACAACGATCCTCAGTTAGTCAGCTCGACCGACATACATTAGGTACTAGGAACCTATTCTGACCTCTATTCTGAAGCAACATTGTCGACACATTCAAGTAACATAACGGGATGCTCACATGCGGTCTCGTCCAGGCTGGTGACAATATAGGCAGCAGCTCCTTTGGCGTTCATTTTGCCTCTGACGTCGCCGATCTTAGAGTCCCAGGACTTCCCTGCCGAAGTTGACAAGATCAAACATGTATCAGCGTACGTTGTGATTATTATAATTATATTTCATGTCGACGTATTATGTTTTAAAGTTAAGTGTTTTTTTCACATTTAATCTGTACATATATGTTACTATACATGTAAAACTTGTGTATAAACCAAGATTGCAGGAATGTATTCAGGCCCAATAGTGTACACACCAGCATATTCCATAGGAAGTTCATTGATTGGTGTGTTGGGCTGCGCAGGTCGACCGGAAGTCCAGATCTGGTCAACGAGGTCATTGGCCACCTCCACCATGGCGATCCCAGACTTGGCGAATTTCTCCGAGTAGGACTTCCATGTGCCTGACGAGACAATGAGTTCAGGTTTCTAAGTGAGAGAGTGAGTTCGGTTTTATGCTGCTTTTAGCATAATTCCAGCTACTTCACACACATTTACAAACATGTTGCAGTTGCCAGTTGTTAGTATTCTAATCTACACAGCAACGGTGAGGTAGCCTAGTGGTTACAGCGTTGGCTCGTTACGACGGAGTCCCGGATTCGATTCCTCACGTGGGTACAATTTGTTAAGGCTGTATCTGGTATCGCCCGTTATTGCCGAAATATTGCTAAAAGTGGCGTAAAACCCTATCACTGTAAGCAACACAAGAACATCTTACCAATCCGTTTGCGTTGCTCGAAGAGGCAAATGGACCTGGGATGCATCCTAAATAAAGATATTGAACAAAGATTGCCCTCCCCAAGACTACGTTACCCTTGTATCCTCAGGAAGTATTTTTTTAAATAAAAGATAATTATGCATCTTTTAAAATATCTTAACCGTTACAGTAAAACGAATATCAGTATTGTACATATCACTCCGTGAAGCTTTGTAAATTGTTTGTAAGGGGCCTCCCCCTTTAGTTTTGTACATACGGGCATTCATGAGGAAGGGGCTCGCACCGACCCTGGCCCCAGGGGTTGTCTTGAGCTGGTCCACCAGCCAGTCAGAGATGGATGGGACACCCGGCAGCCCTGAAACAAGACAAGACAGTTGTTACTACACGTGGTGCTTCAACGTGTCGCTCTCATGGGCAGTATACATGACCCTCCACGCTGAAGTATTGCTGTGTTAATGTGTGAAAGAATATCCTCCCTGCGACCTCCGGGGGCATTCGGCGTTGGTTTCTAGCACCCCCTGCTCATCGTATCAGAAGACACTACCCCATTTTACCCCGTCGACGTGAATCGTTGCTCACGCGATCCACCAATGATACGCTTGCCATTACATCTCTTGTGTATATATGTGTATCATTACGTTGTTAAATACGCCCATCTTTTCGTGGATATCCCCTATGTTCCATAACTGTAGTCCTCATCAGACAACAATTCTTGTCTTCTTGGACCATACGTCTCATACTGAATCATTACGCTAGACTGTATACCAATACACATGAACCAGTTCATCACAGAGTGTTGCCCTCTTTTGTTGCGTCACTGCACACGATCTTGTAATGAGGCTGACTACCCTGGCATTTTTCAGTCACATGTCATTACTCCCTATCAGTGAGCTCCATATTGTATCATTACGCTCTACTGTAGATTAGTCTTTGTATCAGTAATTTGTAATTACGTTAAAATGACCATATCCATCTAACCTTTTGGGCCTAATTACGATCTGCAGTAGTCCAGTTCACCCTTCTTGTATCAGAGCGCCCCTTACTATATATTTATGTCCCTCTGTACCCCATACCACCCGTCTTTGTATCGGTGTACTACACATCGTATCATTACGTTCTATTGCCTACTACACCAGAATGTGTGCCAGTCGCCCCGCAGGTTACGCTCTAATATGGTCAACTACACCCCACCGTGTGCCAAACTTGGTTTTCACGATGTACACACTGCCTTGTACTAGTGTACACAACATGTATCATTAATCCCTGCTTTGGTCGACTACACCCGACCATGCGCCAGCTTGTCCCATACCTTGTTTTTACGATTTACACACTGCCTTGTACTCGTGTCCATTAAAACCTACTGTGGTCAACTACAGAAACATGTTATTGCGCCCCACCTTGCTTCATGAATGTCCAGTTGCAGTCCAGGTTCTCGTCCGCCTCCAGATGGTAGCGTCCGTCTGTCCATAGTGCCGCACTGTTGGTCAGGATCACAGCAGTACCTAACAATTACAGCAAACACACGACATCAGGACGTGTATCCAACCGTCATGAGACACAGATGCCTCAAGGAACACTTAATTACTTCAGGGTTGTTCGACGATGGTTTAGACATTATACAGAAAGAGTTGGTTGGTTTGTTGTTGTTTAACGCCGCACTCAGCAATATTCCAGCTATATGACGGCCGTCTGTAAATAATCGAGTCTGGACCAGACAATCCAGTGATTAATATCATGAGCATCGATCCGCGCAATTGGGATCGATGACATGCATCAACCAAGTCAACGAGCCTGACCACCCGATCCCGTTAGTCGCCCTTTACGACAAGCATAGTCACCTTTTACGGCAAGCATGGGTTGTTGAAGATCTATTGTATCCCGGAATCTTCACGGGTCATACAGAAAGAGAGAGTCAGTGAATGTTGTTGAAACACTGTAGACATTTCAGTCATATCACGAAGGCCAATAAATAATCGAGTCTCGGGTAAAGAAATCCAGTGGTTGATACTGCGAGCACCTGTGCATGCCGTCGATGACATGCAATCAACGAATCCACAGAGCCCAACCAAGTTATAACGCACCGCCGTCATATAGCTGGGATGTTGCTGAGTGCGGCGTTTAACAACAAACAAACGAACTATAACGCCACTGACCTGCTGATCCCTCAAAGCCGGAAATGTAGCCCCGCCTGAGGTCGTAGTAGGACGGGTACTCGCTCTGAAAAACGACATGAGTGTCATCGACATTTGACATATCCTACGTGGGTCATGAACAAAAACAGTTTCGGAAACAGACCCAACTTTAAAATTTAAGGGCAGCTTGTTTCTACGGAAACAACAAATTGAAAGTAAATATTTCAAAAGTACCTCATCGCCAAAATAGCACCGACACACATGTGCTCAGTCTTGGCGGATTATGATATCAATGCCCGAAACAAGGTGAGGTTTTTAGTCGAGATTAACCCGTTATGACACATGAATAGCAGCGATGTGTAAGATTTAGCCGAGACCATAAAATAGTCTATATCATACTGTTGTACTGTTTACACTGATAGTAGTAGCTGAGCTATTGTTGACTATGCCGTTGTGATACCAACACTAATACAATCAACCACAACCGCCTCCGTGGTCTAGTGGTAGAGCGTCTGCCCGGAGAGAGGAAGGTCCGAGGTTCGATCCCCGGCCGCGTCATACCAAAAGACGTTGAAAGATGGTACTTGTTGTTACCCTGTCTGGCGCTCGGCATTAAGGGGCTAAAACAAGGACTGGTCGGCTCGGAGTCAGTATACTGTGTCTGAGTGGGGTATTCATGTTAAACTGCAGCATGGTATCTCAGTGAGCTAGCACTATAAATCGGCATCAGTCCGGACTAGTACAAGCAGCCACACAAACACACACACGTGCATGCACGTCGCTATATAAGTGCAATAATCTTGGACGCGACGTTAAACCCAATTTCACCTCACCAATCAACCACATGGCATGACCAAGTAGTTAGGGTGCGTGAATCGGTCGGGGCATCAAAGCATTATCATTATCTTTTGTCTGGTCGCATACTCTATTTACCTGATGGGCGTCGACGCTAGGGACGATGTAAGCGTGTATGGCACCCCCGGGAACTCCTGGAAAGAGGGTTCTGATGGCCTGCAATCTGGTGGTCGTGTCTACCCTTGTTTCTGGCACCGCCTGTCCAATATTCACATAGTGTGGTGATTCACATAAAATATAGTTTTAATCGACACTTTAGCATCGCCGCCGAAAGTCCATGTTTTAATCAGCGTGCTATAACTGCAGTTTTTATCATACACTGAAATGCGTTATAAGTTTTTTGGGTGACTGGAGAATCCTAGGCTCCTTGTTTCCACCTATGCATTTCAGAGAGGAATTTGTGAGGAGGGGAAAGTGTTCTCAATGGTTTAAAATACAATCCTTGAAAGGTAAACTCGAAGTTTTTTAGTTTAAACATATTTTATTCTCATGAAAAGGACTGGGCACAAATTATCACAACTTAGAACGCCCTCTCCCACACAGACAGACACGAAACGTTGGTCTAATGATGATAATCGACTAACTGTGTAAATGTTTCTTGAAAACTATTTATTTTAATCACAGTTACTAAATATATCATGTTTCCAGTCTTAAAAAAAGACCCACGAGCACTGATACACACGTTTATGTGACGTAACGACAGATAAGACTCGTTTGATGTTAATATAATGATAGGATTGTGATGTTTGATCTATTATACATAAAACAGACATTAACATTATTCACAACATATTTACCGCTCCTGTCTGGCAGCTGGGTCGTTCTGCCGGGGCCTGACGCTTGTGTATCACGTGCAGCTCCCCCTGTTCGACCGGGTCACATGACACCAGGATCCCTGGGAATACAACAAATATATAGTGAGTGAGTAAGGTAGGTTTAGCGCCGCTTTGAACAGGATTTCAGTCAAATCACGGCGTGTCAGCTTGTGGGAGGAAAGCCCGATTTGATGCAGGACTTCGACGCTCAGCACTCAAGGTGTGTGTGTGTGTGTGCGTGCGTGCGTGCGTACGTGCGTGTGGGTGTGTGCGTGCGTGCGTGTTCGTTTGTTGTTCAACATAATCTATGCTAGTCTATAACTGTCCAAAAATCAAATATTCAAAAAACAATTTCCTTGATAATGGCCATTATATATTTTTTTCGAAAGCCTTTTCATAACACCTGTTTTGATTAAGTCCAGAGAACCGTTCAACAGTCAGTCAGTGAGTATGGTATTACGATGCTTTTGGCAGTATTCCCGTAATATCACGGAGCGAGGGACAGCCGAAATGGGCTTCACACATTGAGCCATGTCGGGAATCGAACCAGGGCCTTCGGATTGACGAGCGAACGCTTTAACCACTGGTCTATCCAACCGCCCCAAAACATTATTAAAAACATATTAAGTAGTAATGTTTATTTTATCGCTCTGTAGTTTTCGCTGACATCAACTTCAGAATGTCAGGATGGGGCAAGAAAGAAAATTGAGTTATCCAGCGTTTATTCCTAAGATAACACTGGCGAAAATATGCCCTGTCCTAATGCCCCTTACATTAGTGATATAGAGTCATCAAACCTAAAAGATTGATCAAAGGAATGATTTCAGGTTTCAGGTGGTGTCTCCTCAACTATTAGAAACTTTGCTCGCAATCAGCCCGTTCACCCAGCAGTGAATGGGTACCCGGTATGATGAGATGGTAACGGGACATTCTATCGCCTCATACGGTAGCTTGGTTTGTATACTCCCCGGGAGGCTAAAAATTATATTTGTGAGCACACTGAACCAAACACAGACAAAAATAATGTAGCGCCATCAACGGAATCTGACTCATTATAAATGGACTTATCATTATCATCAACATTGGTAGTAGTAGCAGTAGTACTAGTAGTAGTAGTAGTAGTAGTAGTAGTAGTAGTAGTAGTAGTAGTAGTTAGTATGGTTTTACGCCGCTTTTAGCAATATTTCAGCAATATCACGGCGGGGAACACCAGAAATGGCTTCATACATTGTAACCATGTCGGGAATCGAACCCGAGTAGTAGTAGTAGTAGTAGTAGTAGTAGTAGTAGTAGTAGTAGTAGTAGTAGTAGTAGTAGTAGTAGTAGTAGTAGTTTTATTACTATCCTGTAACATCCGTCCTTCGCTGTAGCTATGTACCAACATAGCACATGCAAAGCCCCCTGTGTGTGTCGTATGATGACTATACACGCGATACTGACAACGGCGATGAACAAACATAACCCAACGCCAACAAACATGATTAATTCAGCAGCCGGCGCATAAAAGGGCCATCAAAGGTTCGGTGTATAGCTCAAGGGGTCATTGTATATCTAAGTAAATATTTGAGGGGTTGATCGTCGGATAAGATGAAACCTTCTCCCTCGAAATAGCGTGGCCCTTCAAGATCCTTAGTTTGAGAGAACTTGGACATCTTGAAGCTAGTGAACAATTCCTAACAGTGTCACCCCTGTATATAATACCCTGAGTGTATGCATGTGGTTTTAAGTGAGCAACAATTTGACTGCGCCACACAAACCAGTGGTTGAGAGCATGAGTAAACGATACACGCTTTTGATGTTTAATTACAGGTCCAGAAGATCCCACATTGTAATGAGCCAATCTCTTTTGAAGTCAGCTCCTATGACAAACAGTCAAGTCCCGTTAATCCGATATGGTTGGTTGCACATGATTATGTCGGATTAACGAGTATGTCGGATAAACAAAATTAGGTAGTACCAACGTTCGTGATCGAAAATTGGACAACTACACGATAGATAACGATTCAAACATGTAATAAAAAAGGAAAAAGGAAATATTTATATTGTTGTTAGCGGAATATGTTTTCTAATAATGCAGCCTCTAAAGTTTAACACAAAACTACTGTTACGGATTGTATGATTGATTCAAAATACTTTTTAAAGCATAGTCTGGAATGAAACTAGTGCCGCAATGCTTAAGAAAGCTGCTTTCTCAGTGGCTATGTCGACATCGGACACTAGGATCCAGTTCTGCCCCACGAAATCCCTCATAAAAGTATATAGAGTATCCTTACATTATTGATGAAACATAAATGTACTTCGAGACAGCTTGCATAATTGGGTTACAAAGTTGTGCATCGGCGTGTTTTTGACAATGTTTATCTTTATTCACGTAAGAATCCCGAAAAGAGCATAAAAAATCTGTCATACATTGAGAGGAAGATTATGTCTATTCAGTGACAACGTCAACGGATGCTCATATTCTGTCACGCGACAACCTATACACATCTTGCTATTGAGTGAACAAGACGCAGGTGTTCACGAAACGTTGATCTGATCCCGCCATACCGGGAATGGAGGTCAATAACACAAGTCACGCGACGCTGGGGAAAGTTTGGACTTTTGTTAAGTACTTAAGTTCGGGGAATCATTCTCAGTTCTCAATTCTACACTCTTCTATACACTTCAATACATGTCAGTTGCATACTGATTGATGAGACTGGCATCATTGGTAAGGGTCACCACTAGCAACAGCAAGCACAGCGTTACCTTGAAACACATTTAATGTGCATGCATAAATCTGGCATGACTGGTGTGTACACGAATGTGAACGGGACGCCGTTATGTTATATAAATATGTGCACAGCATAAGCAAACGATGTTAATGTCACGCGCAAGTGGTTTCTCTTTCACCGTCTCTGCATACGAGAGTGTCAATGTTGTTATAGGTCTCAGGTTGGCGCAGTAAGAAACATCCATGAAATTGATATCATTTTCCACACACATAAACCACCGACAATGGAAACTTAAAGTGAGCCCGAGACTCACAAAAACACTGCTATCTATATGTCGAGTTTATTACTCATGTGAAATAGGCTACTGAAATAGAAAATTCAGCCCATTTATAGATATTGGCGACAAGAGTATTTAAACAAAACACTAGTGTCAGACAACACACCTTTGAAGGAACGAAGATGGTGTCGCGTTCTATTTCTAAGGGTACACACGAACAATACCACCGTGGCACCTTCCTCAACGCCCTTTCCCATACACACAAGTGGTGTTATAGATTTTTTAGGAATTGACCTTGACTACATAAATCATTCTCTAAGTCAGATATCATTAGATGTTCATAGTACTCTAGGTTCGGTTTAACAGTGATGAGATGTATTGGGTGCACGTTAGCTGAATTGAGTGTCCAAATGTTTATCAAGCAAAACTGAAAAACCATAAGAATATAACAGATACATTTATCAAACTGGGTGAGCTGGGTTTAACGCCGCGTTGACAGTATTGCACGTATTCCATGTGGTGTCAGTTTAATGTTTGAGTAGAAGGTCTTAGGTATGTACATCTTTCGGGTCAACTGACTGTATCTGTTGTTATTTATTACACAGTTCTTTTGCCGATCAGTGTTGAATATGCATGGCGTGGCGTAACGTTCACCTCGATGCCCGTCTTGCCATCGGATCGGTGAAGAGGGACACATGAGTCATCAGTGAACAGGTCCATTCTCCACTGAAGTGCTGTCCACCGCAAGCGTTGTCTGCACCACTGGTGTAGTTGATGTTCTGCCGTCTGGGTTGGCCTTCTGGCTGATGTGAAGACGTCGGACTGTCCTCGCAATACGCCTCTGTTGCCACGAATGGTACGGGCTGTGAGAGTCGCTGTCTGGAACCTGTGTCGACGATGCGTGGTTCGAATCCATATTGCTTGGCGAGGGTCTGTCAGGTTTGGGCGGCCTCTAAAGGGACGGTCTCTGGCGTTGTTGTTCTGTTTATAACGTCACCGTAAGTGCCATATGGTGTTCCTATGGACGTTGAATTGACGCGAGACGTCACGGTGCGAGGTATCGGATTCAAGCACTCCTATTGCTCGCCATCTGACATTTCCACTTATGGATGGCATTGTGAAAGCTCATCAAAACGATCAAAAGTAGTCTGTAGCTATCTTGCCTTTCATAGAGAACATTTAAAGCAATTTCTTCCGAATATCAGTATTTTCATGTGAAAAAAACCATCAGAACCAGCGATATTAGGTTGGTTGCGTTTCTTCGAACTTTACATATAAATCATATAACATGAAAAGTATGAACGTAAATTCCTCACTGAACATATCATCTTGGAAGTAGTTTTACTAGCCAATTTCTGTTAATCCAAGAATAACCTATCATCAACAACCTCCCGCCGTGATAGACAAACTATATCCGGCGGGATCTGGCGTTACGCGGTTCACACTGAATTCATACAATATCACCACCAATATTGCCACCCGAGGTATCATGTAACGAGGGTGAAATTGGGTTTAACGAAGCTTTCAAGATTATTGCCCTTATATAGCGACGTGCAGGCGTGTGTGTGTGTGTGTGTGTGTGTGTGTGTGTGTGTGCGTGTGTGCGTGCGTACTAGTCCGCAATAGTGCCTGTTTCTATAGTGATAGCTCACTGAGATACGATGCCGCTGTTTAATACGGATACCCAATCCAGCCACAGTATACTGACTCCGAGCCGAACAGCTCTTGTTTTAGCCCCTTAGTGCAGAGCATTACAACAAGTAGCATCTTTTAACGTCTTTTGATATGACGCGACCGGGATCGAACCACCGACCCTCCGCTCTCCGGGCAGACGCTCTATCCACTAGACCACGGAGGCGGTGGAGGTATGGTGAAGGAGCGGAGTATACCTCGCGGACCCGAGTGTGAGTAGCATGTGTCATTCGCAAGTTGTTAAAATGAATAAACTCCAAAGATAGCATACTTGGTTTCTCTTTTAGTTACAGTTTGTAGTTATATCAAAGGCCAAACATATAAAGGGCTACACTCAGAATACAATATTGTTTACATTAGAACTCATTAAGCATTTACTGTATGTGAACGGAGCTTT